TGGCAACAAAAAATAATTGTTAAGAATATAGTGCATATAAGGAACTGTCTCGCAGCTATTTAATATCTGAGAATGTTTGAGAATTCTGGAGTGAAATTAACATATTTCTTGGGAAGATCTGTTTATTCCAGTCATGTTTCTTTACAGCCTGGAACTTCAATCTGACCTATCTGCTACCATCAAGAAGTGTCCATCTTTAGCAGTACAGTATAACTTAAAATAAAGTGTTTCTTTAAGAACAAATTGTATCCTTGCTATGTAGCTACATTTGAAAGTGTGAAGCAGTGAAGCACGAGGCATTTTTAGCAAATGGATACTAGCTTACATTTTTTAAAAGAGGAATTTCCACACATACTGTAGTTTAAATTCAGAGGGTGTAGCAGATGTAAAAATACTTGTTGCATTTCGGCTCATCTTCAGGTGGAGTGGTTTTCCAGTCCTGATTCTGCTCTAGTATAATCATTAATCAATTTAATCCTCTGGTTCTCTAAAAATATGTTCAGATCAAGATCTGTGGTAAACTTGACAACACTGGCAGAGTTAGGAGAACAAGCTGAATAGAGAAATATATTAGTCTATGTCTGTGAAAAACTAGTATGGCATTTTAAGACGCACCCCTTTCTAACTTGGAAATTTCTGTTACCGTAGGCTTTTAGGACTGCCTGTGTGTTTTATCTGCCATGTTGTGATCAAAGCGGTTTAATGAACAAGCAATATTTGAAATAGGATAGATAGCTCAGTGGTTTGAGTATCTAGCTGCGGAACCAGAGGTTGGGAGTTTGATTCCCCATTGTGCCTCCTTGATAGGAGCTGGCCTCAATGACCCCATAGGTCCTCTTACAGCTCTGCAGTTCTAAGATTAAGATGAGATAAGGGGAGTTAATACCACATGCATAAAATGAGTTTGAGGAGGGATCACAATTGTGTTTACTGAGCAGTGATGCCTTCCCTGCAGCAACCAAACAGGGTTTAGAGGGCTGAGGTAATTATGATGTTGAACCTTTTGCTGCTGCCCCCAGAAGGACCCATGCAGTACATATGGGAGAATGTATTGGAACTAAGGGAGAAATCCCTTGCTCTTCGAGGCCGCAGAATCAATTGTTCCACTACGATTACCCTGCAGCCACATGTTCAGTGTAACGTTAATCTCTTCCTAACACTAAAATTGGTACTGCAGTCCAGCACACCTAATAGCTGCAGTTCTGTCCCCCACATGTGTTCATTAAGTATATGAAGAAATTTATATAGACATCCTGCAACCAAGTTTTCATATAATTACAAAGGCTATAATGTTCATTTTCGGTTGCAATTTAAAACATAAAAGAGGCAAGGGCCTAGTTAAAATGTAGGCCTGAAAGCTCAAGGACTAATCTACTGTCTGAAGTGATTACAAAGCACAAAAGGAGTCTTTTCTCTCTCATTTTTTTTTGAGGTTGACCTGTCTGTTCCTACAGCAGGTGCATTTTGTGTTCAAATGCTTGCCCTAGCATTTCAGTTGACAAATGGGTTACACTCGGGTGTCATCAGGCTTTGCCTGTTGGCTGCTGTAAAGAATCCTGGCAGCCATATGCAGCTCCATATTTTCTGTTGCCGCAACCATGAGAAGGGCGAATAAGACAGACTGAGAGAGATTAAAACCACTTGTGTTCATCAGCTCCATCTGGTCATGTATGCCAGCGTTAAAAAGTAATATGTTCTCTGTCTCTGTTATATTGCATGCATGTGCCTATGTTTAAACAATATGAGGTTTGCTTATATTGTGCCCTTCTTAATATCATTAGCGTTTACTTTGAGCAAAAATCTGCAGTGAGATTGAACAGGAAAGCAGCTGCAGGGGCTGCTCTTAATAGCTCCAGGTTTTTGCATTTGGATTTGGCACTTAGCATGTCATACCTTTGCTCTTGAAGATACCCAACTGTTACAGACATAATTAACCTACTCTAGCTGTGAAACTTCAAGCTGAACTCTTTAGAGGACATGGCCTTGGCATTGCTGGTTTGGCACCAGCCATGAGATATAGAAGACTTTTGATCCTGTGCATAAATTACATTTCTGTTTAAATAAATAAATAAATAAAATCATTAACTTGGGGCCATTGCCTGTTGTGTACATTGCAAATCATCCTAGGGGGCAGAAGTGGATTTTGGATATGTGATGTATGTCTTAAGATCCTGGCCACCATACAGAGATGGCGTAAGAGCATCTAATAGTTTCAGTTTTACTGAATCCAAACCTTCAGATCTCATTCTACAACAAATCAATAAAACTGAAAAATATGGTTCCAAGATGAATCCATATTTTCTATTTACAATCACTGATTAATATGATAACTTCAGATGGTAACATATCAATAATTTAATTTGGAAAGTATGGGGCACCTTATTTCTAAATTAATTTCTGAACTCTGAACAGCCAAATCCTATCCTTCTTTGCAAATGAGCCTGAAACATTTTTTTGTGTCAGAACGGCCCGAGAGCAAATGACATAAGAAAGAAGATATATTCTCCTGGCTAATTTGTCTCATAATGTTTAAAGAATACACTTGGAAGTATTCCTTTGGTGCTGGACTGAATATCCAAGTGTTATGGTTCCTTTGAATGTAAACACCAAGTCTTGTTAAGTTGTATCTGAGAACATGCAAAATTGAAAATAAATATATTTATATATATATATCCTGCCCCATTAGCACAATGGGCTATTCTGGACAGTTAACATCATGATAAAATCAAAACAAACTAGAACAAAAACTAACACTGGAATAATAAAATAAACAAAACAAACTAAATTAAAGACCTAAACATGCCACCCTCTTGATAGTTTATATCTTTACAGACTAGGTAGGTAGTGATCGTCTTTGACAAAGTATAGTATAAAGTTGTCCTTGGTTTAAGTTGAGTTCTGCTGTGATGTTTTAATCTTTGAATGAAAAGTATGTGGAAGAAGTTGGGAGGACGTGACAGAGAGAGGATGTTAATTACAGCTGTTGGGCTTTTTGTTAGGAAAATATTGTTTCAGTGCAAATACTCTTTCTGTTAAGGAAGGTCTTTATTGTAGCATGGCAGACAAGAAAGATTTAGACAAGTGAAAATGAAGCTTTCAGCTTGTAGGTATTAGAGGAATATTGTCTCCATAGTAGTAAAGCCCAGCTTTCAGGTAGTAATTGGAACATATCCATCTTAACAGGGGAAGAGATTACTGTGGCCTTTGTCAGTGAATCTTCATTTGTGGTTAAACCAATATAGCAAGCAGTTTTTCTCATTTTGTAGCATTTATTTTGTTACAGCGTTGTATTTAAATGAGGCCAGTTGTTTAACTGAGTGACCAGTTATACATGATTTGAGATATTTCAGGTGTTTGTTTGCTAATGCAGTGGTTTGCGTGCAATTTCCCTCTTAAGAGCTGGTGAAGCTTTTGCGTTTATGAACGTAAAGAGGGGGAGATGAATTGTTGAAGCCTTGTTAAAAAAGATCAGCAAGCAGAGGGAGGCATTGTATGCAAAAGGAGGTCAGATGTGTGTATCCACTGCTTGAAGGGGAGGGGAGAACCAGCCGCCGCTTTTGGTTCAATCTGCCCATATGGTAGAATGCAGAGGACCAACCGGATGACTGTACTACGTTTTGAAATTGCTTTGTGTAACATAATTAAGCAACTGCTACTTTTGTTGGATAGTGTCTGTGATGTATTCCCCACCCCTCAAGATGGCCACCTGATATTCAGAGATTTTTGAACCACTTAAAATCTTTCTAAGGTTGCAGTTTCCCACTGTTATCTGTAAATATATTAGCCTCACGCTTACGGGCTAAAATTGAGGAAAAGTTTTCTATATACATCTCAAGCTCTAAATATGAAATCAGAAGAGGCTAGGCTAAACCTATGAGGAGCAAAAACAATACACCTTGTCCAATGGATGCTGGAAATTGTGTTCCACCAGGATAAGATTCTGGCAGGACCATCTGGAAGTGACTTCGAAATGAAGTAGGAAAATCAAAGAATTATGAAGTAAAATGAGGCTACTTGGATGCAGGGTTAATTTTCTGTGACTGTGGAAAAATTAAATCAAAATGCAGCATTTATGCACATGTGATTTGTGTCCTACCACATGTACTAAAGAAACTCTAGCAAATGGCAAAGATAATGCTGTTGAAGTAACCCACTTCTGGCCAAAAATATTCTAACCAATGAAACATTCTAAATTTGTTTGAACTTTACATTTCAGATGCATCCATACTTTTACATTTCACAATGCTCTGCTACACTTAAATAAATAAAGATTAAGCTAATGGTGCACTGCTTTCTACCTGCAGCTTTCCCCTTCAGAGCACATACTGCAACAGGATGTTTCATAATCCTGTGTTTTCTTTTAGTTTTGAAAAGAAGGGAAGGCGAAGGATTTTATTTCATGCAGCAGTGTCTGCTTAACCCCATGCATTGTTCCCCTTAACCTATTTTTTTTTTAAAAAACCATGAATGGCTTTTATTTAAATCTTGTTATTTCAGCATGTAGAAAGTTTTTGTCCAGTCGTGTTCGACTCTAGGGGCGGTGCTCATCCCCGTTTCCAAGCCATAGAGCCAGCGTTTTGTCCGAAGACAATCTTCCGTGGTCACATGGCCAGTGCGACTTAGACACGGAACGCTGTTACCTTCCCACCGAGGTGGTACCTATTTATCTACTCGCATTTGCATGCTTTCGAACCGCTAGGTTGGCGGGAGCTGGGACAAGCGACGGGAGCTCACTCCGTCATGTGGATTTGATCTTACGACTGCTTGGTCTTCTGACCCTGCAGCACAGGCTTCTGCGGTTTAGCCCGCAGCGTAAAACATGAATGGCTTTTAATTAAATCTTGTTATTTCAGCATGTAGAAAGTTGGACCAAGATGTTCTTATTTTTATTTTATTGTTTTCAAATTGTATGTATCCCCATCCCCCTCATTTCCTTAAAAGTTTGAACGTGTTTGCTATCAAATGTCTCACTCCTGCCTTTTTTCCCCTCATTCTTTTAGATTCCATCCTGGACAAGGACTGGTACTATATCCAAAGATAGGAGACAAACTGGATATTATATGCCCAAAGGTGGACTCTAAAACTGGTGGCCAGTATGAGTACTATAAGGTCTATATGGTTGATAAAGACCAAGCAGATAGCTGCACTATTAAAAAGGACAACACACCTCTGCTCAACTGTGCCAAGCCTGATCAAGATGTTAAGTTTACCATCAAGTTCCAAGAGTTCAGCCCTAACCTCTGGGGTCTGGAATTTCAGAGAAACAAAGATTATTACATCATATGTAAGTGAACAATGACTTTTGTTTCCTCTTTTTCTGTCTTGCTGTTCCTTAATTTATTCATTGTATTCAATCAAGTAAGAAGCTTAAAGGATTTATATTGTTTTCTTTTAAAGTATTTTCATGGAAGCTTATTATTAACCACCCTCCCTACTGTTTTAGTTCCTGTTTTTTATATCCAAGTCTGCACAGAGCTGCTGTGAGCTGTGTAATTGTGGAAGCGATGCTAGTAATGCAATTTATAGAAAACATGGGTATCTTAATTGGGTTCAGGAGAAAAAGGGGAGGAAGAAGGCTCTGTGAATGCTAGAATTTAGCAGTACTGTGTTCCATAGGTAAATCCATTAAACGTTTTACCTATAATTTATATAAAGCCCTAAACATGCATTATGTAGTTTTGAAATACTCTGTTAACACCCTTCTGAATTACAGTATTTGACTATTGGTGCTTGTCCAGTAGTAAAAAAAACTAGCAGTCCTGCAAGACAACAACAGCTGTCAAGTCGATTCTCTTATGGCAACCTTTTCTAGGGCTTTTCTAGGCTTGAAGTACGCAGAAGTAATGTATCATGCTCTTCTTCTGGGGCCACTCTGGGACATAGAAGCTTGACCAAGGCTACACAGGCTGGCTATACTCCCAGGAGGCACAGTGGGGAATCAAACTTCTAACCTTTGGCTCGACAGCCAGGTATGCACCTTGAAGAGCAATCTAGCCAGCCAGTGTTATCATAGCAAACAATACCGTGTAAACAAACAAAATGTGAGGAATTGAAAATATAGCAGAAGGAAAAGAAATGTATCTGTGTAAGAGTACAATCCTGTCTTGGGCCTGCTAAACGGACCCTTCACCATCTGAAGTTATGCTGACTACAAACTCCCCACAACTGAGGGTGTTGGAAATTACTCAGGGCTATTCTTATCTTGGCCTGGCTTTGCATAGTGCAAAGTATTATCTGGGATAATATGGTTCTTTCCTCACTCTTGCCCCTTTTTGTATTTATTTCTTGGCCTTTCTTTTACAGATCATAAGCAACAGAACAGTTTTTCTATCTGTTTTTCTGTCTGTTTTTCTATCTATAAGTGGGCACTACACTTATATTTTGATTTCCAAGAAACGAGACACTATGGCTCCCCTTTACTATCATCCAGAGCTTTTTTAGACAAACACACAAAAAATTTCAATTCCTAATTATAATTAAATTATACACAACAGCTTTATAAAATTATTCTAAGTACAAATATTTTCTTTCACCACAAAAATTTAATAGATATGTGATTTAATGGAAGAAATAATAGAACCAAAAAAAATATAATGGGATGGGTGGTACCGCATCTCACAATCTCAGCCCCTCATGTCTTCATGCCCTTTCCTCTCCCAGCTGGGAATTGGTGTGCTAGTAGATCCCCTCTGTTGCGATATTTCTGAGATCATTCAGCCGAAGGGTTCTGCCACATGGGACACTTCTGTTGGCATAATGGGATGTCTGACCAGTTAGGATTGTATTGTATAGGCATCCTTCAGTCTCGAGACACTATGGTAACATGCTCTGAATCGAGGAGTGTCCTCTCCAGAGCATGAAGCCTGGGTAAAGTAATATGGAGGATAGGCTGTTACCCAAGCAGCAGATCCCCCCTCTCCACATTGCTGAAATGGTCCAGTGGAAAGGCAAGAGCCAATACAACTGGTTCCAGCAATGTCGCGGGAGTTGGCAGAACGACACATGCTGCCTTTGGGACTCCAGCTCCGGATTTTGCCTCGAGTTAGGATTGCACTAACAGAAAAGAAATTCTTAAAATATCATCAGAGTCATTTGTATTTCAAGTAAAATTAATCCACAGTTCAATCTTGTACACAATCTTGTACAAAAGAGGTTTTAGTTTCTACGCATGCAGTTTTAAATGCCAGACAGTTCTTCAGTAAATATTGGATCTGTTCCATCTAGGAGTAGTACAGTGGTAAAATAACCAGGTGTAGCAGAGGCAGCCATCAATGTGCCTTGTCTGGAGCCCTTTCCTCAGCATATGCACAGACACAGCTGGTTAGTTCTCTCTTACGGTGGTCAACTGAAAAGTAGAAAAGCGCCACACATGTCTTAGTCCTGCCTGCGGCAGACAAGAGGAACAGGTGTTGCAGTTGGCCTGCCAGAGGATTTCTTCTTCCCTTGCTGTAAATGATTGCTCTCTTAAAACATAGCTATTAAATGTCTGCCAGCTTACAGGTGAATTCACTGAGTTCAGTAGGACTTTTCTAAATAAGTGGGCATAATCTTAGAGGCAGAGTGTTCTGATTTTTTTCCAAGTTACCTTGTTTACTTGCTAGGCCTATGAAACATATTTAACCATGTTTATCAAGTTTATTTTTCTTCCTTTCACTGCATATTCATTTTCAATGAATGCATCTGATATTCAACATCAGAGAAAAGGTAAAATTGAATCAGATTGGAAAAAATTAAGCAGCAATAAGGTATAAATAGCTGTTCCAAAGTTATATTCATTCTGGTTGTTTCTAGTAAATTCATTTATAAATAAAATACGTAACAGAAAATTTGTTTAGCAATTTCAGTGTAATTAAACCATGCAGCAATCAGAGAACTGATGAAATAACAAATGCAGGCTGTTTAAAAATGCAATTTGTTGATTGTAAGATTATATTTTAAAATATTGCTGTTTTGATGGGTATAAATGCAGAAGTACTCAGTGCTGTTGCTTGTTACTTTTGAGAAAAGTGTACCAGAAATGTTACTCTGCCTCAGGAAAAATATAGTGTTGAAGCCAGAGACAGTTGCCAGTAGGCCTGAGGAAAAAGTACAACATAAAAATGTCTGTCTCTGCTCAAATGGCTGGTTTTGAAGGTGAAATATTTCAGTTATCTAATGCTATGGGGATTAATTCTCCACAGTAGGCCAGCTGTGACATAAATGGCACCATTTTAATTATGACTCGAGAGTTATGGACACAAATGGAACTTCATGGTAGACTGTCAGCTTTGTCGTATCTTTGTCAGTAATCCCTCTGAGTAAAACCATAAGTAGGCCTCATTTTCTTCATTTTTGTATAATTATTTCATTATAGCAATAAGGTATAATAGACATTACATTTCCGGGAGGATTATAGCATTCTTTAGGGGTTATAGAATTCACTGTCCCTTCAGTCTGGAGCCTTGGAAATGGTATTCAACTTCTTGTAATACAGCAGGAAAAATATTGCTTGAAATTGGAATGCTATGACAGAAGGCTAAACGTGATGGGTTGGTAAGGAGGCCTTAAAAGTTTGATTTCAGATCATCGCAGACTGCACTACTCCAGAGCTAAACCAAGTGAGAAATTTATTTCCATCATAAAAGCCAGACATCCCACAAATACCATTCCCCCTTCATGCTCACCTTTACATACTCCGATATCCACTTTTGATACTGCATACACTGCTAGCTTGTGACATTTGTAAAAAATGCAACAAAATGAGGATTTTGATGTTTGATCATATAAATCTTAAAAGCTTCACTCAATAAAGACATGTTATGGAAAGAATGACAGATGAGGCTCCTTTCCCAAACAGAGAATTCTTTGGCAAACTGTACTTGGACAAATACAGCTGCTACTGTACAGTGGTGCCTTGCATTACGACATTAATACATTCCAGCAAAATCGCTGTAGAACGAAAATGTCATAATGCGAAAATAAAAAACCCATTGAAACACATTAAAACCCGTTTAATGTGTTCCAGTGGGCTAAAAACTCACCGTCCACCAAAGATCCTCCATAGGGCAGCCATTTTCGGTGGCTGTCTTGCGAGGAATCCGTTCCAGAAAACAGTGGGGAGCCATTTTATTTACCTGGTGGCCATTTTGAAACCACCGATCAGCTGTAGGAAAACCATCAATTTGTGAAGAATCGGTTTCCGAAGCAGGGAATTTTGTGAAGAGTCGGTTTCTGAAGCAGGGAACCGATCATCGCAAAGCGATAAAAGCCTATTCAGACCATCGTTTTGCAATCGCAAAAGTGATCGCAAAAACGTCGTAATGCGGGGCAATTGTAAAGTGGGGCATGATTGTATTTGTATATGGCTGTTTCTGTTGTTCTATGACAAAACTTTAATGAAGATATTTTTGTTTTATGTGAATTAATAAATAAAACAAATTTTATATTTTATTTGGGTACAAGTCATACTAAAGTTCTTCCTAAGTTTCAGAAACAAGTAAGAGAACGTAACACAGTAATTCTGAAAGTTTCTGAGGAAATTGTGGTCACATGGTTGTTTAGTCATTCCATGTTCCTTCTGTATGGTGTAATCATGAAACAAGGAGAGAGAGAATATTCCTGAATTACACAGTGTGTATACGTACATTTGTTTATTTATATAAATGGCACAGCAAGGCAATTAACAGAAATTCATGCAGAATAGTTGAAACATAAAAGTGAATTTGAACCATTTATGCAAAAACACATCAGTAAAGAAGAATCAGCTCCCTTCTTTCTAATGCAACTTAGATGCCAAGGGGTTCTCTGAATAAAAGGATCTTTCCCTTCTGATGGAAGGGCAGTAGAGAGGGAATCAATCTAGTTTCTGTTGGCAGGAAATCCCAGAGTTTGGGAATATGTGGAAGAAATGTATCTTTCTATCATCTGCAAATTGGTTGAGTTGGATTGCGTTCTTGATTTATTTAGGGTGTTTGCAAAGATATCCAGACTAATTCATATGACTTCAGTCCTTTTGCCTGCCTCCTATGGTGGGTTGGCAACTGTATTTGGCTAATAGTGTGAGTTCCCAAGTTAGAAAAGCAGTTGGGCTGATTTCTCAATAGATGTAAAAATCTTTGAAGGCACAGTCAACTTAGAGAAGCGGTTGCCAAGTTTGGGTAACCAATGTGTTCCTGGATTGCAGTTCCCAGGATCCTTCACCACCAGCTGTGCTGACTGATGTTTCTGGAAATTGCAGCCCAAGAACACCTGGGTTACCCAAGACTGGAAACCATTGACTTAGAGGAACATACCCAGATATCAATA